GCGAGAGAGTCCATAGGTGTGGGAACCCTAAAAGTCCACAGGTCGAGGACCTGGTTTTGTGTTGAGGCCCTGGGAGGCTAAAGAGAGCTCCCTAAAGTACAGGTCGAGGACCTGGTTTTGTGTTAAGGGCAGGGGAGGCTAAAGAGAGCTCCCTAGATTTTAAAGGTCAAGGACCTTTTTGTATGAGATGAGAAAAATGTTCTAAGGTAACTGTTTTTGCATAAAATAAGCAATGTTTTAAATATTACAAGCAGCCCAGTTGAAGCCATGAGAAATAAGGTTTTATTGAGAAAGTCAGCAGAAAAGGCGATGAAGGAAAAGGGGTAGATGTTAACAGTAGAGGTAACTGGAGCAAGATTTGGGAAGTGAAGGCTGCAGAATCAAGAGAAAAAGGCACAGCTGTAGACAAGCTTCACTGTGTGTGTAAGCTGAGTTCAGCCTGTGTGTGTGAGGCGCAGCAAGAGGCTGCTTACGGCTCTGGATTGAAAGTGCAGCACTAGGAGAGTGCAGAATGCAGAGCAGAGTTTTGGGAGCTCCGTGTGTGTGTGTGTGTGTACAGCGCTGGATGGTGTGTGTGAAGGCCTGATGCGGTACCAGAAAATAAATAAATAAGATAAATAAGAGCTTTAAAAAGTTGCAACTCGTATATGTAAATTACACTGCAGTGCTAAAATTAATGTTTGGAGCTACGCAAAATTCAAAATTCTGCAACCCTGTTCTGATCAGTCTTTGAACAGAACACCATAAGTTAATAAATAAAAGGTTTTTAAAGTAACATATGTGTATGTATGTGTGTATGTATGTATATGTGTATACATATATATACATATGTAGTGTACAAGCGTGATAATCATTTGTGTGCGGGGCAGCATGTGAGGGACCCCGATCTGGGGGTTAAGTGGCTTGGAGAAAAAAAAAAAAAAAAAAAAAAAAACCAATAAGAAATGCAAGTAAGGTTGTATATGACAGCTTTATTTCAGAAATATATGGATATACATATACATAAAGCCAGGTAGCTACTGAACAGTAAAATCAAAACAGATCTGCAGAAAATAAATATATAAACTATTCCTCAGAGCGCTCTCAAAAAATTGCAATTGGATTTGCTCTAATGTTACATAAGGCCTGCTTAAAAGCATAGTAAGCATTAAATTCTGAAAATAACCAGTGCAGTGTTAAATAAATTCTGTGCTTAAAATATTATATATATATATAGAGAGAGAGAGAATAAATAAGTGACGAACTGACTTACTTTAAAAAAAAAAAAAGACTGTGACAAACAAAGAATGTCTCTGTGCCTTGTGAATGAGTGGATGCGTGTCTTCTTGCATGAGAAGTGAATGTTGCTTTCGCTGGATCTTCTCCTGAAATGACTCAGTTTTTAATAGAGGGAGCAGCTGCTTGAGAAACGGTGCGGTCCATGTTTTTGCTAGACGGTTATTTAGTTCAAGAGACTGTGGAAACAATAGAAAAAGAATTTATCGTTAGTGTGATGACAAGTAAATCCTTTAAAATACAAAAGTTGCATGGTTGTGGTTATAAAGGAAGTATTTTGTCTGATTATGGGCCGTGGAGTCAGCTGGACTCCCTCGCTCTCACTGTTTTTCTGTGTAACATGCAGTTTTAAGCAATTTGTGACTTTAGAAAGGATATTTTTCGGTGTTTTGGACGTACCTTAAGGCTCCTGGTTAGGGTAATCAGGAGATCCTTCCTCTCGGACAGATCTAGTGAGAATGACTGGAGTTTCAGCCTGGGGACCTGACTCCACCCACTTTTACACACAAGAATCCCATAGTCTAAAAATAGCACAGGGTGCTGCGAAAAGCAGCTCTGAACTTCTCAGGATCATCTTTATGAAAACCATAAAATTAACAAATAATCAGTCAGGAAATAAAATATTTGTTAAATCTTGCTATAAAACAAAATCCATTAATTGTCTTGCCTCAACTTTAAGAACCATTAACGTTAATGGCTGGATTTTGAGATGCTGAATAATGAAAAAACAGATAAACTAAGTATTATTTCCTGTAACCTGGCTAGAAACTGTACTAGGCTGTTTTGAGTTAAAAACTGGTAGTTATTTTCCCAAAATAAAATAGATAAATAAAAAATGAAAGGAGGGATTTTGCATTTGGGATAGATTGTGCCTAAAGTTTAAAACCTGTGTAGAACTGATTTGACGATTCAGAAAAATTGTGCATAGGAAGTAGTCTAGATTTACCTTTGAGTCAATAAAGTCGACTAATTATTAGAAACCATCGTTGATTTTGATTTGTAAAAAGAGAAAGTTCTGTCATTTCAACCCAATCAACATATTTAAGGAAAACGTTTGCTGTGCATTGTGGCGGGCATGAACTTTACTGGGTGGGCCTGTCACAACCAGCTGCAAAGAATGTTTGGGTCTGACTTCTATACAAAGAGAACCTGGAAGCCCTCACCAAAAAATGTGACTTATAACATCAAGACGGGGAGCACTACAAGATGGACAAAGAGGCAGAAACTTATTTGCCCTGCTGCTGATGAAACAAAGTACAAAAGGGGGAGCATGTGTGCTAACATGTGAACTTTAATCAATGACGGTGGTCATCCTGGACTTACAAAGAGAGGCTCAAAAGAGACTGTTTCCTATGGTTACACCCAGTAAAAGAGTGCTTGCTGCAGTCAGGTAATGAACAAGGCTTTTTGGCAACAACCAGTTGAATTGATGAAATGTCAGAACTGTGGAAAATTTACTAAACTACTGTAGAACATAGTTAACTGAGAAAGTTAGCCTAAAAAAAAGATAATAATAATATCAATAAATAAATAAATAATAGGATTAGTAACCTGGATTTCAGCCCAACTCACCATTGGACGTCAATATAATCTTTATTGTCCTAGGATTCTCAGCTGCAGCGGACATGCAGTAAAGCCTTATTTTCTTTTCAAAACGGAATACATCAGCGTCATCACTTACTTTCATTGGTTAAGGAAACGGTGTCTATTTATAAGTCTAGGAGAACGCTTTAGGCTTCAACAGTTTTCTCCTTCGAGCAAACATGCGCAAATTTCCGGATAGTTTATAGTAACGTTCCATCCCATTCCATTCATTGCATAAAAATAAACATTAAATGAATAATTTGGCATTCAGCTGACTAAATGATTCATGGAACATCTCATCCGAGACAACAGTGTTGTTTCAGCTCCGTTGAGTTTCCCAACAGATCTAGCCAAACCTAGCTGATCCTATATTTTTCTATCAGCTGTAAGTTTTAACGTAGAAAATAATGTCACAAAAATATTGAATAATTGTACCCCTCATTCGATAAAAATTACGTTCACATTCTTATCTTGTGAAATCTTTAACATAATATTTTTAATTGGCCTTTTTGACGACAATTGGCTAAAAAGTCTTTAAGATTATCATCACAGGATGGCATGATAAATAAGTAAATAACATAAATAAATAAATAGACAAAAATAAGAGAGAAAAAGCAAAATTAATTAAATGAAACGTAATAGTGATAAAACGTTAAATTGATCTAAAATCTGTCATTCAGCGCCACTGGAAAAAGGAAGAGGATAGGGGAGTATTTCTTAGCACAAATCACGTTATTGATTTAGCAATGCAGCTTAATTTCAGATGCTTTAAGGATGATACTAACTTGTGTTATAGATGGAGGAGTAGCACAGAAACACACTTCTAAAATGAGGAGATAAGGAAAAAAAACTGCTGATTACCAATACTATGCACAAACAAACCTGTAACTGCAGTTTCGTTATTTATGAATTAACCTTAAGTAGTGAATTAATTCTTAGGATTTCTTGTGCGAGTAGTGTTCCTAAAAAAGAAAGAAAGAAAGAAAGAAAGAAAGAAGGTAAGAAAGACAGGTAGTTTAGGTAAGGGACAACCTGAAACTATTTGGTTGAATTGATAGTAAAAGTGGTTGTCCTAATTTCTAATTGGAGAGATCACACCGCAACATGAGTTTAGAACGGCAGTTATGGGAAGTTTTGTTGGATTAATTTGATCACACGCTTTAGGTCTTATTTTTTTTCTTTCCACTGATTTAGCGTTAGGTTAAGTGTTTTCACACTTTCGCTTCAGTCTGACATTTGCTTGGTGTGTGAGGGCACAGAGACGTGTATGGACCGTGTGTTTGACTGTGTTTGTTTTGTTTGTTTGTTTATTTATCTATATGGGCGTGGCTGAGCCTTGAGAAACATCAACAAAGCCATTGGGCTATTCTGAGTAAATTGACCAATTCAAATTCAGGATCCTGAAACAATTTGGCTATAACCTCTAATTGATGAAGGACATCTTAAGAATTCATTGTACAAGGCTTCCTCTCCAGTGTTGCCAGAACTGTTATAAAACCCATGCATGGTTGTATATTTTAGTTTGATCATTTATACTCATTGAATTATTGTTGTTTGCTTTATGTTTTAATTTCTTTGTAATTTTTTCTCTGTGACACAGGTGGAGATGATGGTGGCGAAGTGGATCCCACTCATTTCTTTCTCCCACACACATTCTTACTCTCTCCCTCTCTCTCTGTGTATGTGCATGTGTATGTGTTTGTGTGTCTGTGTGTGTCCATGTCGTGATGTCACTGTACCTTTAATTGCGCTTGCTGTTCGTAACTGTATGTGTCTGATGTTGAAGGTATCAGAGGCTAGGGTCAGTAAGAGCTAGGACATTTTTGTGCATAACCTTTAATCCCTAGGCGATCGGTTCGGGGAACTTCTGGTCCGGCCGGAGTGTGAATCTTCCTACCAACTATCTGCCGAGATCAATTGGACTGCACAAGCCGAGAAAGCCTTCATTGGACCAAAACCACACATGAAGATACTTCGCCTTCGGTGCCAGGCGTCGTCTGGGTCCTGCTGAAGGTCACCAAAAGAAAGTGGACGGAACCAAGGTGGACCGGGCCATACAGGATCACGGAGAGGACGTCACACGCTGTCCGGCTGGACGGGAGGATCCTAACCTGGAAGAGAAGCAGCTGACATCTGCCTAACTAAAAAAAAAAAAAAAAAAAGGATCACAGACTAAAACCTGGAAGAGAAGTTGCTGACTACAGTAGCGTGCCAAGCTACCAATTCTGACGAGGTAGCATGCCAAGCTGCCACCACATCCTGCAGGACGAGAATCGTGACATCATCACCCCCTGCAGCTGCCTGGAGCCAGTGAAGGGACCTCAACAGGGGGAAGAAGTAACCACCATACGAACATTCTACAAGGGTTATATTTTACACCCTCATTTATTTTACAAGGATTGATCACCATTGCCATCTCTCCTCCACCTGCTGACCCAATTATCCAGATGCCCTTGTTACTAGCCAATCCTAACATCTATTTGGGAGGGGAACCCTCTGATGAAAGTGATGACTCTCATGATGAAGAAGATGTTGTTAGAGTGTGAGAATATTGAGTGATTTATGTAACAATCCCTTAAACTGTTTATTTCTATGAGTTTTTTGATTGTGTTGTTTTTATTTTTTTGATCATTGATGTCCTAGGCATGCCCACTCTGTGCCAAAAGGCGTTCGCCTCAAAATGAGGGGACATGGGGGAATTTTCCCTATTTGACGTACATAATTAGGGTTTTTCGCCCTCATACGGTGAGCATGCGATCCGTTCATGTTGTAACATGTTCTGTTAAAAATATGATCATGTTTTTTTGTATTAGTTTACTGCTGGAAATATGAGAAGCTGTAATCTGATGGATTGTTTGTATTTGTATTTTAAAACTTTTCTTATTGGATTCTTTTTGATGGAATTTGGTGTTATTGTTTTGATTTCTTATATCTTTATTGAACTCTTAAAAGAGTTCAAAAGGGGGATTGAAAATATATATCTCTCATATAAGCTCTTTCATATATTATTATAAGCTCTTTTATATGAACAAATATGTATCTCTCACTTATGCTCCTTATATATTATCATAAATACATTATTATATGCCTTTTCATGGAATCTTGTTATAATATCGAAAACCTCTCTGTGCCTTTTCTGCTCAAGCTGAACAGCTGCATAAGGGAGTGAAAGTGTTCCTTCCTTCATTTCCTCAATACAAGAACAACTGTCTTTGTTAGCAAAGGATGTTGCAGGATGTGTCCTGGTCATCTCAAGGTTGCATGTCCTTGGGATGAATTGGTCTTTCATTAACAAGGCTATTAGCTGACGTGCGTCTGCAGGTGCAGATGGCAGAATTACGTGTGTGTATGGCAAACTACGTATGTAACATTCCTGTAATCTTCAATAAAAATCAGCCGTTTTCAGCAGAACGGCGAGAGTCTGTCCGAAGCAACTGGCAAGAGCAGATCACGGGACCTGCTGCATGTTGCAAAAGGGCTCTCCCCCTCTCGAGCGGTGAAACAGTGACTGGACTCCTCTGATCATTTGTCTCCTCATTCTACCAACTCAAAAGGTGTTTAACTCCATCTTCTCCGTACCCGTGCTTGGTCTAACAGAAGAAAGACCAACAAGGGGGCTTAAGTCTCCTCCCTTTCCGGTCAGCTCATGGGTCCCCGGAAGAACGAAAAAATTAATGCAAGTCAACTGGCCTAAAAGAGCTATTTTCTAATCTGCTTTGCCTTAGACCAGGTGTGGGGAACCCTGGTCATCCAAGGCATGTCTTTGCTCCATCACTTCTGATTCAGTGGTTGATTCACCTGTTCAGCAGCTCATCAATCTCTACAGAAGCCTGTTGATTGAAATCAGGTGTGTTGAAGCATGGTTGAAACAAAAATATGCTGGATAGCAGCCCTCCATGGACCAGGGTTCCCCACCCCTGCCTTATAGACTGGATCGCACACGTGTTTTACTGAAATTTAAATGAAAACTAATGATGGGTGTTTTGACCATGCCTGTCACATACTTTGAGATTTTTCAGCTTGTAAAAGTTCATAATTAACATGACAACAAATTAGATATTGGCACTTTGTATATATGATGTCACTACAGAATCTCTTCATGCGTAGCTGCTACTTACCACATGACCAGATTTATGGTGTTTTTTTTTTCCCTCCTGAAGGAAGGATTTTACATTCGCTAAACCTACAGCCATTTTCCCTCTGTTTTTTCTCTGTGTCTGGATCAATGACATCACTTTTGTGAAGCACATTTGTATTCCTGGACTTATTTTCACACGAAACCTAAAATAATGTTTTCCCCATTTGAAAATAAGTGGGTTCTTGGTATCAAAATGCGTAATTAAAATTCATGGGCATCATATGTGAGATCCATGGCACGTAAAAAGTTGAATTAGAAAATAGCATTTTTAGCCTCATTGACTAGCATTCATTTTTTCGTTTTTCCAGGGACCCATGGTCCAGAAGTAGATGGGCGTGACTTAAGCCTGGTTTATGCTTCTCCATCAGCTCTGCAAGGGACAGACACGCACGGATTGATGGAAGCGTTTTGCTCTTTTACTTCTCCGTCTCCTGGAGAGTGTTGCAAAGCAATTGCCCGGCAGGACAACAGAGGGCGTAGCGCTGTTCTGTGGTATCCTGTCATGTATCGGTCCAAGATCGTGTGTTTATATTGTGTTTTTTGTGTATATAAGAGACTTTTAACACAGACATATTTGTTTCTCATTCTCCCACCGCTTCATGCGCTCTCCACCTCTAAACCCACGTTTCCTGTAATTTCCGTCCACAAATAAAATGCTTGCTGCGCATCTTTTCACTCCTCCAGTCACGGGAGGATGAAACGTTCATATTTTCAGTTTTTTCGCAAGGTATTCTTCAAGCTTCTCCGTGTCTGCCGCTAGTTATCCTCGGCTCTCTTTGCAATGGCGGCGCTGTAAACAACTGCGGCGTCCTGACCAATCACAAGCTTGGGTAATCCATCTCGTTCGACGGATGTTTAAAACAGTGGGCTCGACTCCATACGTACTTGCGTGCCTGCCGGAGCCCTACGCAAGGACGGATAATGGCGTTGCGTGTCTCCGCACTGACGCAGACGGAGAAGCATAAATCAGGCTTTAGGCTCCCTATAGCAGTCATAGATATAGATATCATATATATTAACTTGATGCCCTAACTGGGAGTCAACAGCATCCTTACACGGTGGTCATCTTACTTCGGACAGCAAACCATTCTCTAGCTGAGGGTGAGTGCACGGCTCAAATAAAAATACTTATATAACTCGATGAAATATTAACGGATTTACAAACGGTTTGCCTTATTACAAACCGTATGATACATAGACTTGACGCGGGATACTTACACATGTTGAAATTACTGCTATTACTTTTGAAACACAACATAATTGTGAACAATGTTTCCCGGCGAAGCTCTTTTGCACGTTAGGTGGAGAGAGAGACCACAATCAATATTTTTATAGGGTTCGTATGGTTAAACAAAACTAAGAAGTGTACGAAAACCTAATGTTTGTCTAAATGGCTGTCTTGGTGGGTGTTTTATGTGTTTATTAGCTGTCTAACTTGGCTTAGAGAAGACGAGGCTGCTGTGGCTGCGCCACTTAGCTACAATGTTTTACCTCAGTGGAAGCTGAGGGTAAAATTGCCCTTGTTTTCCAGGTGGCTTACTTTGTTAAAAAAATTTAAAAAACTTAGATTGAAGTATATTAAAATTGTGGAAATTGCTGGCTTTGTTTTTACAGAAATACACGTGAAACACAACAAGCATGCCTGACTTTTGTGCTGCCTGTGGATGCACTAATAGACAATGTCTTCAATCACGACAACGTGGGATCACCTTTCATTCGTAAGATCTAACAATAACAAACATTCAACTGTGTTAGGCTGATAAGTCTCTGTCATCTGCTTTACTTTTGAACAATTATTAGAAAACTGTTTTTTAGAAATAACAGTGATGGCAAAGTTTAAGATCTATTAGCTGTGATTTGAAAACGTTTTAACCGCTTGAATTCAAGATTACTTGGTTGATCAATCATTGCATGTTTCTGTCTTGACAACTTTTGTTTAACTATTGTTTGTCTTATGTTCATTTAAAAGTGTAACATCCAGCGATGGTCAGTTTTTAGGTACTGTTTGACCATTCAACATCTGGTCAAAAAGGAGACACAAGACTGCATGCGTTCCCTTTAAATTGGCCTGCCTTCATCCCATCAGCTGGATCTCAGAGCCTCTCTGCAGCTCTGAACACAAACGAATTGTCAACAATAATGTTCTCTCCTCAAGGTCCATCCTTATCGTCCTACAGTACTCTTCATGCCTAACACTCGCAGCTCGGATCAGTTGCTAAATCAAAGAATGACTTCCTAAATTAAATATGAACTTCTAAAACTTATAAGCTAGATAATCATTAAATAAACGTCTGTTTATTGCTACTTATAATTATAATATAATGAAATGTTTCATTAATCTGTGCTCAATGATTGAAGTTGCAAATGAATATCATGTTATGTAGCGTTGTTAATCTACATAACTAGAATTTAACACTGTTGCTATTCAGCTTTGTTAAATTCTGAGAAAGATCAAATGAATTGGCAATGAAACTTATATCATATCCACGGATATTTATATAATCGATAGAAGTTCATACACCAACTGGCTTGGTCTATATTTGATCAAAAGATTAATATTTAATTTAAGAGATTTAAATTAATGGCAAAAGTTTATTTATTAATTCAGAAGATCTAAAGAGATCTTTGCTCGTTCAGTGATCAATACACACCACTCTGTGTTTTATTCAAAGAAGAGTCAGGTTTAAAAAGTTAAGAATTTATTATTAACAATTTAAAGATGACAATTTAAAAGACAATTCATAAATGACAATTTATAAAAGCTTTGGTATTAAAACCTTGGTATTAAAGCAATTTGTGTCTGGATGAAACTAAACATGAAGCGTGTGTGTTTGAATGTGTAGGTCTCAGAAGGTTTTATCTTAGAGAGAGAAAAACACATTCTGGGTGAAAGAATTTGGTTTGCAGTTAAGCTAAATTATTTCTTAAAAGAGGCATTCAGACACTGTAGGTGCCAAGAGCTGTGTTTGGGTACGTGATGTTTAGTATCCTGTTTTCCAGTCCAGTTTGCATAATTTCCAGTAAGAATAACATTTATCATGAATGTTTATCGGAAGTCAGCGCCAGATGGTTCCTGCCTTGTTGCACGGGAAAGTCTCCCCAAACAGTTTCCAATTCATGTGTATGTGAGACCCATTTCCTAAGCTATGCAGGACTGACGTCAGTAAAAAGTATTACTGGGGTCGCATTTTTGGTGTAAGGAGGCTTTTCTGAAATGCAGCCAGAGGCCCTGTGTGGTCTAGCTGAATGCTGTCCCAAGTTACTGGTGATGTATTGATGAACTATACAAATAAAAAGCCCCACGCTGTAAGGGCAAAGTTGTCTCATTCTCTTGTATTTTGATAAGGAAAAGAACCACATTCTGGCACCCCAGATTGGGGGAGTTTAGACGTGCTCTTCGGATCGATCCACAGTCTACGGAGGTGACCCCGGGGCCCCAGAGGTAAGAACAATTTTTGTTCAGTTTTGGAGTTCCTCCGTGGGGTGTGGACTGGTCTTTGAGAATTACATGTCCTGCTCATAATTGAGAAATTATAACACGAGAAGGCACTTGTCCAGAACAGCTGTGTAAAATTTTTCACACTGTGTGAAATCAGCTGTGTCATTTTGATGACAGAAAAAATTTAAGTGACAAATTAAAGGTGGGACAGCGAAAATTGGAAAATATTTTCAACAGCTGATAAGGTCCTGGGAGGACAAAATGTCAACATCCTGAGATCCAGTCGATTGCCTCGGTAAAGGCGAGCAAAGACGGGAATCTGAGGTAGCAGTTGGGAAAAAGCGCTGAAAGCTGTGAAGAAAAAAAAAGGCTTTGCTGAGTTCGGTTATCCCAGGGGATTGGTAAATTTAATAGAGTTTTTGGCAAAGCAAGAGAGGCCTGATGATGACGTCTTGAAGTTTGCAGCAAAGAGGCTGTTGAACGGGCTCCAAATCTTGGGAGTTCTGTGTGTGTGCCTGCCAGCGCTGGAGAAGTGTGTGTGTGTGCACGCGCGCGTGTGTGTGTGTGTGTGTGTGTGTGTGTGTGTGTATGTCAGCGCTGAAGGAAGAATGTGTGTGTGTATGAAGGTCCGATGGAAAAAGGATCAGATTGCTTAAAATACTAGAAAAGCTTTAAAAAAAAATAGGTGTAACTCAGAGCTGTTGTCATGAGCCAGGGTGAGTACTCGTCACATCATTCACCACCTTTGAGCTCTGATTGCAGGAGAGGGGGCAACAGCTGTTTCTCATCAGCGGGCCGGCTTTATAAGGAGGAGGAAGACCAGACTACGAAGCCAGATGATTGCCGTTAACTGGTAGTCGCTTGCCCCCCGAGTTTTCGCTCTGTTTGCTCTTAGATTTTTGAATTTTTGACTTCTTGGATTATTCGCTCA